TAGTTTCTGCTTCATGCATTATTGGGACTATACTACACAGCGTTCCATGACAGTTTTTTAACATTGAAGATAATAATAAATGTTCCTTGAGCACGTTCCTTGAGCATGATTTCTGAAGGATCATGTAACACTGAAGACTACAGTAATGGCTGAAGAAAATTCAAAGAAATAAACCACATTTTAAAATATTGTAAAATAGAAAACAGTTATTTATATTGTTACAATATTAATGTTTTTACTTTATTTTTGATGAAATAAATGCAATCTTGCTGAAGACTTCTTTTAAAAACATTATAAAATCTTAAAAAAAAAAAAAAGCCAGAATTTTGAATGGTATTGTAGACTGTATATAACTTACATTATTTTTAACTGTAACAACAAAACTAAATTGAAGGTTATATCAATATATATTGATTGTCATCAATTATGTGGATAATATAACTCTAGAGACAATTTGCTATATCTAACCATTTACATTTTGAGAGGCCAGCCAGATTTGACTTTATAATTTGATACAAACAAAGGATACAATGGTGGTTACTCACACTGCAGCATCTTCTCTTCTGCCTCTTTCAGTTGGCTCTGAGATGTCGGGCACCAGGAGGGCAGCCAGCCAGTGATCCACCATGATCTACAGTAAAATTAAATGTCAGCCTCTCATTCTTATTTTACTTAGATAGAAACTAAAACGACACGGCTGTAAACGTTTGTACTTTAAATAATAAATAAATAAATACATACATACATACAGGAAATACTAAGGAGGCACAGATTAAAATCTACTTACACAGCAGAAAATAAATACATAAATAAACAAATACATACATAAAATATGAAATAGGAATATATATATATATATATATATATAATATATATAAAGTAGGCTTTCAAGTATGCTTCCAGAGAACACAAACCTTAGACTTAGAAATTACTTGATAAAACTCACTCTGCAAAATCAAAGCAGCATTGCGCATTGTAAAAATAAATAAATTGTATACCGTGTCCATGTTACACATCTTACATGTTAATAAAATGCTTTTCTAAACTATCATATATTACCAATGACAAAGACAGTGTTTAATTATGCACATTTCCACAAAATAATCAAACTGAGTATAGGGTACAATGGGGCTTTATTTCCCAAAGCTAAAGAGAAAAAACAAACCAGTACTTTCTTAAACAACTGCTGCTATGCACTGTTAAAGGCAGGGTATGTGATTTTTCAAAAACACTTTAGAAAACTGATTCGGGCCGAATCGCAAAACAAACTTGTAGCCAATCAGCAATAAGGGGCGTGTCTACTCGTGATGTGGAGGAGAGAGCTTTCAGTGCATGGGACAGACATTAGCCGAGCGACAGAGAGATAGAGATGGTGGATAAAAAACAAAAGAGGAAAACGTCTGCGGAAGGATAAGGCAAGAAGTAGGACCCGTGTAAATATCGGATCAGCTTTCCAGCGCTGGAGAGAACTCAAGGAGCGGAGGCCTGTGATCGGACGCCGAGGTTGCTTTGTTTCTTCTCAATAGGTGAGTAACAACGTGTGTCTACAACAGCTAAAGTCTGCCTACACTGGACGCGATCAAACGACCGTTGAAAACCATTTGAAATTTGTGTCAGCACGTCATAAATAGAACCTGGCAGCAGTTTTCTGTCGGGGATTTGTTGCGCCGCGCCGTTGACGTCCGTAGACACGGTGTAACATTGGTTTTGCTTTGTTTCACAGAACTAATCATTGCCTGGGGTGCGTACGTATATGTGGGGCGGAGCTATCAAAATAGGGGCAAGACCCTTTTGGGGTAGGGGCGTGTTTGTTTTGGTGATTTCAAATATCAACATTGGCTACCAGAAATCACTTACTCTGCCTTTAAACTGCCCTAAAGCATGAGGTTATCAAGAGCAATGACATGAGCAACGACTGATTCACGAGTAATGACAAATTGATTTGGATCTGTCACTGAATCTTTTAAAAATGTTGCGGATTTAAATAGTTAAGGAGAATCTAAACTATCACATTTATTTTGAGGTAAAATACTTCATTAATCACCCTGAACAAAACTGAACAGTTTTTTAAGTACCTGTGGAATAAAAACACCCATGGGTCATTCCATGTCAATTCAAGGTCCCCAGCTCAAATTTTTGATTTTGCTAATATTTTTTCTGAAGAAAGATAAACATGTATAGTGATGAAAGCCAAAATATTAAATGTCACAGATGTATATTTACGGAGTAATCCACTATTTTGCAGAGGGGGGGTCAAAATGACAATTTTCACCTGAGATTCAGAGCCAAATTTTTAGGGGGGTAAAAATTACTTAAGAAAAATGGCAGCATCATAATGTTATTTTTATCTTCATAAATTTTTTATTTTTTTAAAATCTTCATAAAAATCATCCTCATTTTTAAGGCCCTGTATGGTTTAATCCCAGAGATATCGGGATCTCAGTGCACCTCCATGTATGTTCACGTATGTTTAATGCAGTTGTTTTGACAGAAGGAAACAAATACATTTCTAGTTTCAACTTTATTTGTTCTTCAGATTAACAGTAAAAATATGTACAATGTAACAATTTACTCCTGGAGACTAGGGATGCACGATATTGGATTTTTGCCGATGTCCAATATGAAAAATTCAGAAAATCTTTTAGAGCTCATAATTTGTTTTAAAAATATAACACATGATATTACAATATTACATGATTACACATAATGAATAAATCAGTATATATAAAATTATTTAATTTAAGTGTCATGTTTGTGATTTTTTTTTTTCATGTAAGCTATAGCTTCTGACCTTTAAATCAAGACATACTCTTGATTTTATGGCATCAATTACTGCTTTATTTAATCAGAAACACAGTCTAAATATTATTTGTGTATTTTGCTTTCATTTTATTAGAAGTAAGCCAACATCGCCCCCTAAGGAATTAATGCTCCTTACTGAGCGGGCATTAGGACCCGGGAGAGGATGCCGCTGCACGTGCTATTACCGTTTACTCTATCATACACCGAATGCCTCATTCTGTACGTGCATTCTCAGTTTAAATATGGCGATCCAAAACAGTGAATCCAATCACCATTCAGGCAAAACTTTGCTTCAAGAATTAGCCACAATGCTGAGTTAATCCATAATAACCGCAAGGGAAATTTCCTAACCGCGACAGCCCTACTGGAGACATATTGAAATTCCAATATCTCTGGAATTGAACCATATATACAGCCTTAAAAATGATGATACCAAAAGGTAAGCTTGTTAAGACCCAATATCTAAAAGGGCATTAAGATATCTTTAATACTTCTTGAGTTACAAACTTTGGAGAAAAAAACTTGAAAAGTTTTGACCATATTTTAATAGTCACCTTTGGCATATAATGCAAACAAAGATAGCTAAAGTCAACATATTTTACTAATTGTGTAAAATTAACATTATGATGCTGCCATCTTTCTGAAGTCATTTTCACCCCCCTCTACAAAATAGTGGATTACTCAGTAAATATATCTGTGACTTTTAATATTTTAGCTCTCCTCACTTATACATGTTTATCTTTCTTCAGAAAAAATATTAGCAAAATGAAAAATTTGAGCTGGGGAAGTTTCTGAAATTTGGTTGATTTAACATGGAATGACCCTCCTGAGAAAAGACACACTGACCAAAAATGCTTCCAAAAACACTATTAGGCCAGCAGAGGAAAAAGACACAGAGAAACAGAGAAAAATACCTATAGCACAGTCGAATAGTTTTCTATAAGCAGAAGGGAATAGATTTGGTAGATTTGATTTAGAATATTGGTTCACATTAAGTATATGTTGTTATAGGTTGTTGACCTATATGTTGTTTATTAGGATTACATTGTTCTTATGTAATAACATAAACACTGTAAAGTGACCAAACCATGCTGCTGGTACTGTAAATGATAATGTCACTTAGTAGTTAGATTATGAATTACATTTGGACACATTTTACCTCAATGTCTTGTCCAAGAAACAGAAAACATTGTAGAAGAGACTACGAATACCGATTAACATCAGTACACGCTGTGCCAGTCTAAAGCCAAGAGAATGTGAAAGAGCCGTCAATCAAAGACACAATAATTATATTGAATGAATACAGGCAATTGATTATTTAGTTAGATATTTGTTAAATTAAAGTATATATTTCTAAAAGAAGAATGAAGACAGACAATTGTAGCAATTAAGACAAGTAAGACAGAATACATTAACAACAAACAACCTATTAGATCAACACTTACTGTAGTAACGTTATACAAACAGTTCGCTTACATGGTGCAAACTAAAAAGAATACAACTAACTGAAACAACAGTAACAACGAAAATATACTGGAATTCACACCATTTTCATCCTGAGGGGTTTTGTATGTAATTGTGTGTTTAGAGGGTCACACTTACCCCGTGCCCGCTACCACTGTCTCCTCAGCCATGTTTTCAACACTATTTGTTGTTCAATCAGAAAGAGTTGTCCGAATCGTGAAAATATTGTTGTTCTAATGAGTCGAATCTTTTCATTGAATCAGTTGAACCAGTTAAAAAAAAAAAAACCGAGAACCGTCTCAAGGTTTTGCAGGGAAGCGAGGAATTAACTGATGGGATAAATAAAGCACTACTTTTGAACTGATATTTATACATACGTGCATCTGTAATTGCTATCTTGTAATACATCCATAACCATTTCAATGTCCATTGTAACTCTGTAAACTGTTTACACATAAGTTAAATTGACCTAAATATATGCCAGACATAGCGGTAATGTAACCATTCCGAGTTACGACCCATTTAATAAGCCTTGTTGGCTGACTGATCCAGACTGATTCGCGAATCAATTCAGAGCAATAACTTGAGATTTGCATGTAGCCTGGGTTGCGAATCAATTCAGACTGGTTCATTACAAAGAACCGGTTCAAAAGAGTGATTCACTCACGAATCGGACAGCACTAGCATTGATCACGTGATAAAGCATCAAACGTGAACTCTGATCTAGACTTCCTAACTGGCTAGTGATTATTACCAGCGTTAAATGTACAGTTCAGAAGTCGTTTTCACTGCATACGTGTTGTTTGAAGGCGCAAAATAATTTTTATTTTCTTTGATGCTAAAACGCATTTATAACGGTGTATGGCGTTTACACGAATAACTCTAAGAGGATCTATTTCAAGTTCATATAGGCCTACTGGTTGTCTGCGTAATTAAACCAGTGTTGACAAATCACTTACAGTTGCATATGCAAGTGTTTATAACAGGTTTGAACGGTGGGTGGGTGTTATCTAGATTTAGGGCTGTGTCATCTCGATGACGTGGAGGAACTCAAGTCAGCCTTAACTTTAAACCTCTCCGTCTCATACAGTTAAATTAAACACAAATTAAATCAAGGTTTTTAAATCAACTGGCTTGAATGGGTCTCTAAAGCGCAGGACTGACGTCTGTTTCGCTTTCCGGACAGCTGATCGCGCGTGCTACACTGTGAGTAGAAATCGTTTTCATGTCAGTGGGGTTTCAGGCCTGACATACGGCTTGTATCTTTAATATGTTACTATACAAACATTTAAGCTTTGCAAAGTGGTAACAAGAGTGGCATTTGTGAGTTATTTATCCGTATAAATGTAAACGGGATCACATATAGCCTGTCTTTGTATGTTTCCTTGTCGAGCATGCATGTTTAGCTCCGCCCAATAATCTGTCAACGAAGTCAAACCACGTTGACTGTCATTCAGCCAGGACAACCAAAGAAATGTGTAATGCAATGAGAATCACATGCTGTTTTTTTCAGAGACATGTCCACAAACTCTGGGTTATTCCTGCAGGTGTAGTTTTACAGCGATCTTCTTTGTTGTCGGTTTTCTTGCCACACCTTTTCGTGCAATGTGGAATGTTACTTGTCTGGAGTTTTTTTGTTCTCTCTCTCCAGAATTGCATGTTTAAGAATGCATGCATCTTCAAATGGTTGATGTTATGTTGAACATATATAGAGACGATCCCTTAGCATATGCATACATGCATTATTAATCATATCTGCTGTGTAGCAGCAGGCAGACACAAAATAATGCACACACATATGTTTTGTACCTTTATGGTGACTTTCCATTCACTTACATTGTTTTTATATTGAACCAATGATATTTCCTACCTATTAACCCCAAACGTACCCCTAAACCTAACCTTCACAGAAAGCTCTTTGCATTTTTAGATTAATTAAAACATCAAACATAATATATACGTGTGTGTGTGATATAATGAATAAAAATGGAAACTTGACTGTGCAGAAAAATAAGTACACCCCTACATTAGTGGCTTCTTGATGTGTTTCTTGTAATTCCTATATAAAAAAAAAAATCTAACTAGATTTTTTTTTTGCTCATTCCTCCATTAAGATCTCCTTTAAAGGTGGGGTAAGCGATTTTTCAAAAATGCTTTAGAAAACTGGTTGCGTACGTATGTGTGGGGCGGAGCTATCAAAATAGGGGCGAGACCCTTTTGGGGTAGGGGCGTGTTTGTTTTGGTGATTTCAAATGTCAACATTGGCTACCAGAAATTGCTTACCCCACCTTTAACTGTGTGATATTGGAGGGGTTTTCTTTCATGTATGGCCCATCACAACTTGAGGATTGAGGTCTGGACTTTGACTTGGCCATTCCAGACTTTTCCATTTCTTTCATCTGAGCCATTCTTTTGTGGATTCTCACATTCTTCCCAAGCATTACTTGGTGTAATGTGAAATTCAAGTTTGCCAGGCCCTGAAGCTGAAAGCCATTTAATAATGTTATACTATTACTATTGTTCTGCTGTTAAACTTGATTTTAATATTAGGCTCGCTCTTGATGTAACGTAATATTAATATCATCAATGTTGATGTAGGGGTGTACTATTTTTTCCCACACACACACACAAAATGGACATTTCAGTTTTTTTACATGAATTTTTTTTACATGTTTAACTTGATTTTAATATTAGGCTCGCTCTTGATGTAACGTAATATTAATATCATCAATGTTGATGTAGGGGTGTACTAATTTTTTCCACACACAAAATGGACATTTCATTTTTCTACATGAATTTTTTTTACATGTTTTTTTTCTTTTAAATAACTTTTTAACATTTAATTATGAAAATGGATACACTGTAATGTTCAACATTTTGGTGTCAGTAAGATGTTTTAATGTTTTTGTTTCTATTTTGCCAATTTTGGCAAATATGAATTTCCAGCAGCCATTACTCCAGTCTTCAGTTTCACATGATCCTTCATAAATCATAATATGCTGATTTGGTGCTCAATAAATATTTAATATTATTATCAATGTTGAAAACAGTTGTGCTGCTTAATTTTTGCTTGAATTTTATTTATTTATTTTTTTGTAGCAGTGCAAAAGCTACTTTTGATGAATTGAATACATTGTAGCTAAATTAAAGTGTAAATTTCTTAAAAAAAAAAAATACTGATCCTTTTCAATGGTAGGTAGCTAAATAAAAGTGTAAATTTCTTAAAAAAAAAAAAATACTGATCCTTTTTAATGGTAGTATATATTAGAAGATTGAGTTATATTATAGTGAATTTTATACTGTATGATATGTCTTCATCATCAAGCAGTAAACAATATGTGACACATTGACATTTTTGACCAGCCATGAATTTTATTCTAACCTATTAGTAAGAATGACCTATTTGCATGAGTCTTCTGAGTAACAGGAAAACATTTTCATAAGCAGTTATGGATGCAAATAAGGCTCGCTCGTCAAAGTGTGAATTGTGTGGTGTTACTTGTGGTGTTTCATCTGCTCTGAAGTAAAATCTCACCCTGTATCTTCTGTATCTGAATCTTGAGGAGAGTGATATGTTTTATTTATACATTTTTTTTGCCCCTTGCCTCTTTTCATCTGTGTGTAACACAGGGACCAGAAAAAATGCAGCTAGGCTTGTCGGTTTCTGACAGTGATGTCTCTTCGTTCACCCCTCTGGTGGTCCTGGAGCTTGCTGATGACACTAAAGCAGAGGCCATCACTTGGTTACTAAACAGGATCAGAGGCAAGCAGCAAAATGGAGGTGAGACCCCTGGCATGTAACATCTAGGGATAGAGGTTGACAGGAACTGAACATTTTCTGAAATATCTACTTGTCTTCTAAAGTTGTCTGTGTTTGAAATCCATTGTTTTGTTTTTTTTGGGCCTCTGTCAGTGTTACTCAACCACTGTGACCCACCAAACGTGAACCCTGCCCTTCACAGAGGTCAGGGACATAGAATATCAAATTCTGCCTGTAGAGGAAACACAAATGCAAAGTTACTTTATACATATTGCTTGCACAGACAAAATGGAGCAACTCTGTGTCATATTAACTGATCAGTGCTCTATTTGTTAATTAAAATAGTCTGACACTACAATGTTAAATGGATACTAGTTCTGTAATTAATTTTTATTGTACTTAAACTATAAAGCTGTCATAAAAGATAAAGTACTGCTGTAATATTTCAAGAGATTAGTAACATAAGTTGTTATTATTTGAAGCTGTTTTTATATGAAAATTAAGACACACAACATGACACTTGCTTATTCAAAAGTAAATAAAATTTGTAAATAAAACAGTTACTTCAATATACATCTTCTTTGATTAGCATGTTTACAATTTCAGTTCTGTTTTAAAATCCATTTTGGGTTTATGTGATAATAAAGAAAATAAAACTAACATATGAATTCCTGAAAAGATGTTTTGCAGTATCTTTTATCATAATTATTTTAAATATTTATCGAGACTGCTTCACTGCCTGGTGGAATCATAAAACAGGAAATGATTCCCTCAAGACTGTTCTCTGGAGGAACCTCCACCCAATCTACTGAGACCATCACAAACATCTTTTCTTTTCTGTATTTCACCGCTGATTTATCTTGTTTACTAGTAAGTAAGTACATTTTATTTATAGAGCACATTTAAATTCAACTTACGCTGACCAAAATGCTGTACAAAACAATTATAAAATACAGTAAAATATAAAATAAAATTGAGTAAAAATCAAAGATAACAGTTACTAATCTATAATTTAATAATCAGGAAAGGCTACAGAGTAAAGATGCGTCTTAAGTCTAGATTTAAATCAGAAATAGAAGAAGCACTCCTAATGTCAGGCGGCAACTGATTCCATAACCGTGGAACAGCAACTGCAAAGGCTCTGTCACCTTTCAATTTAAGTCGTGACCGTGGAACATGTAAAAGAGCTTTGTTGGCAGATCTGAGAGACTTAGGAGCTGAATAATAAAAAAATAAATAAAAAATAAGATCAGAGATGTAAGATGGGGCTTGTTCATTAAGAGCTTTAAAAACAATCAGCAAGATTTTGAATTGAATTCTAACAAGGACAGGAAGCCAGTGAAGGGAAACTAAAATTGGAGTGATATGATCACCTTTTTTTGCACTAGTTAACAGTCTGGCCACTGCATTCTGAACCATCTGCAAACGTGCCAATGAAGATTGGAAGAGACCAAGGTATAAAGAATTACAATAGTCCAGCCGTGATGTGATAAATGCATGAATTTCTTTTAGAAGTCATTTTTACAAATCTTAAAAAGTAACGTGTCGATTTAAGTCTGGAAATTATTCTCAATTGATCGTAGCCGTTTTTTAACAACTGAGCTAATTTGCTTTTCAAGACAAAGCTCAGAGTCAAAGATAACACCTATTTTTATTTGCCATCCAGCATTTAATATTCTCAAGATAGTCCATGAGAGGCTGCAGAGAATGTCTAGATTTTAATGGAATGCATAGCTGAGAATCATCAGCATAGAAATTAAAATATATTTTATATTTCATAATTATATTACTGAGTGTAAGCATGTTCAGATTAAAGAGTAATGGCCCCAAAATTGACCCTTGAGGAACCCCACAGGAGAGAGAAACAGATGATGAGAAAAACTGGCCAATAGCCACTGAGAATGTCCTGGATTTAAGATATGACTCAAACCACAGTAATGCCATATCCTTAATGCCTACCCAATGTTCAAGGTGAGACAAAAGATATTGTGATTTACCAAGTCAAAAGCGGAGCTCAGATCCAGTCAAATCAAAACTGCATTTTCACCAGAATCAGCCACAAGTAACAAATCATTCATCACTTTTAACAAAGCTGTTTCAGTGCTGTGATGAGGTTAAATTAGATTTCCACTAAACATGCAGTTGTGTACTATGAATATTGCTGGCTCTATGACAAATTGCTTGTAATCTTCCTTATTTGTAAGGATATATGTATAAATATGAATGTAAATGTGTCAAGGTCAAAAAGTCTCCTAAAATATCAGATAATCTATTATTTTGCCTGATAAGGCAAGTATAATAATGTTTACAAATGAATACTTTTTTGATTTTTTTCTTTAAGATTTTTTTTTAAACCAAATGAAACCAACATAAATACAAAGAGTACATTTTTAAGAACCCCTTTAGTATTATGATAGGATATTGGCTTAGTCTATTTTTATTGCCAAATTTTATGCACATTTATTTTTTTGGGGGGGGATTTGACCTGGTGAAATGTGTATTTCCTAACACTGTGATTCTATTTACAGGAGCAGAGTTGTTGGTGGATCAGCTCCTGTTTCCAGCTCAGGATGGTCAGAAGTCTAATCCAAATGTCTTTGTGGTGGGCTCCACATTGCAGAGGCTCTTGAAAGGAGCTGAGGATGTAGGGTTATTTAAGGAATTTCAAGATGGGACAATGCGAGGGTTCACTTATGCCAACAGAGAAAGCTTCAAAGACTTTTATGGTGAGATTTAGCTATAACCAAAGATGAGGAGTCTGTTATATTTTGTTATTTCAACTTCATTAGTTAATTTTAAAGACTTCATGTTTATATGACTAGGTAGAAACGAGATATTGATTCTTTAAAAATGCTTTATTTTAAGGACCGATTCTCCTTATTAACTAATTGCTTATTAGCATACATATTACTAGCATATTGGCTATTTATTAGTACTTCTGAAGCACATATCATGCCTTATTCTTCATGCTCATATTTTAGATCCCTTAATCGTATTCCATTCCTAAACTTAACAACTACCTTACTAACTATTAATACTGTAAGCAGCAAATTAGGAGTTTATTGAGGCAAAAGCCATAGTTAATAGGGAGAACTGGCCCCCAAACTAAAGTGTGACTGATTTTTCTAACAGGGATACAGTATTAGGATACAATACAGTAACTGTATTGGTCCAGGTTGTTCTATAATACTGTTGCATTGTGCTCATAGGAGATGGTGAAGGATTTCTCAGTGATGCCGAGTGTCAATACATTATCAAACATGAGTTGGACACACTTAGGGCTAAGAATGAAGAGCATGTTCCTGGATACCCTAAGGTTAAGCTCTACCCTGGAAAATCAGTTGGTAAGTGTATGTCTATCACCAGCTGCATTAGATGAATACAGTAACTAAAACATTAAAGTTGCTGTGTGTATTTTTATTGTAAAATGCTTCTATTCCGGTTTAAAATAATCAAATATAGTAAGCCCGTTGTCAATTTTTCCAGATAGTTGTAAACATTTTGGCTCTTTGATGCTTTCAACATTGTTCTGTTTGTTTGTATCTTAAAGTCAACTTGAAATCAAAATTGACCCCATTTACATGTTCTGGGTGTTATTCATCTGTGCATCTTATTCCTAAAAATTGTTCATCCTCATAATCTTTAATCAAAATGTAATAAATTGCTGATAAATTTGTGAAAACCAGTGCTGTTAACCAATGGTCACGTTTCTGTGCGCTAAAATATTATTGGTGCACATGTTTTTGATTACTTGGTTACTATTTACTTAATTCAAAAGTGAAATTCAGAAATTGAATTCAATGAGGGAATATTAATATTGTTATTTTTTAATGTACTGTTAAAAATTATGTTGAAATAAGCTAGTAGTATTTGGCAGGTCATGTGATCTCAACATGGTGGTTTATTCTGTCACATCCCTTGTAGAATAAAACATAATTTTTAAACCACTGACATCATTTCATTTTAGAGTACATAATTTTGAATATTTGATTTGTCAGTATTATATCAGCATAAAACTGTCTTGAAGTAGCAACTTTAAAAAACTTATAGTGGTGAACAGCTGAAACTAGATTCAAAACATTACCATTCAGATTGTCATATTTGCTGTTTAACAAAAATAATGCTTTAGTAATTTTTTTTATTCACGTTTTTTTCGCAATTCCTTTTTCATTTTTGAAGATTAAGTTACATTTTGATGGTAAACTCTTTTCCAGTGCGGAGGTTGCAGTCTAAAGGTGTCCTAGTCCAGTATTTTCCTCTCCATAACAAAGAAGACCTTAAAAGGCTCTCGTTCTCATGGTACAAAAAGATCAAATTGTCCTTCCAGCCACTGGGTGAGTCACTCTGTCTGTGTGCGCTGGCAGCATGAACTTTATACCCAAATCCAGCCTTTATTGTCAGTTTTCAGATATAACTTACTGTGAAAAGAATTTCACAAGAATTTATATAAGTACAGCTGAATGTCATATTTGGTGGGTGTGTGTGTGATTTATATCTGTTCTCTTGAATTATTGTGGGAATTCAGATTAATGTTGATTGCTCAGCACTGTAAGTTGCTTTGGATAAAAGCGTCTGCTAAATGCATAAATTATTATTATTATTATTATTTCAAAATATGTCATGTGATGTAACCAGAATGCAGAAAAAAAAATCATAAAACAGGAAATGATTCCCTCAAGACTGTTCTCTGGAGGAACCTCCACCCAATCTACTGAGACCATCACAAACATCTTTTCTTTTCTGTATTTCACCGCTGATTTATCTTGTTTACTAGTAAGTAAGTACATTTTATTTATAGAGCACATTTAAATTCAACTTACGCTGACCAAAATGCTGTACAAAACAATTATAAAATACAGTAAAATATAAAATAAAATTGAGTAAAAATCAAAGATATCAGTTACTAATCTATAATTTAATAATCAGGAAAGGCTACAGAGTAAAGATGCGTCTTAAGTCTAGATTTAAATCAGAAATAGAAGAAGCACTCCTAATGTCAGGCGGCAACTGATTCCATAACCGTGGAACAGCAACTGCAAAGGCTCTGTCACCTTTCAATTTAAGTCGTGACCGTGGAACATGTAAAAGAGCTTTGTTGGCAGATCTGAGAGACTTAGGAGCTGAATAATAAAAAAATAAATAAAAAATAAGATCAGAGATGTAAGATGGGGCTTGTTCATTAAGAGCTTTAAAAACAATCAGCAAGATTTTGAATTGAATTCTAACAAGGACAGGAAGCCAGTGAAGGGAAACTAAAATTGGAGTGATATGATCACCTTTTTTTGCACTAGTTAACAGTCTGGCCACTGCATTCTGAACCATCTGCAAACGTGCCAATGAAGATTGGAAGAGACCAAGGTATAAAGAATTACAATAGTCCAGCCGTGATGTGATAAATGCATGAATTTCTTTTAGAAGTCATTTTTACAAATCTTAAAAAGTAACGTGTCGATTTAAGTCTGGAAATTATTCTCAATTGATCGTAGCCGTTTTTTAACAACTGAGCTAATTTGCTTTTCAAGACAAAGCTCAGAGTCAAAGATAACACCTATTTTTATTTGCCATCCAGCATTTAATATTCTCAAGATAGTCCATGAGAGGCTGCAGAGAATGTCTAGATTTTAATGGAATGCATAGCTGAGAATCATCAGCATAGAAATTAAAATATATTTTATATTTCATAATTATATTACTGAGTGTAAGCATGTTCAGATTAAAGAGTAATGGCCCCAAAATTGACCCTTGAGGAACCCCACAGGAGAGAGAAACAGATGATGAGAAAAACTGGCCAATAGCCACTGAGAATGTCCTGGATTTAAGATATGACTCAAACCACAGTAATGCCATATCCTTAATGCCTACCCAATGTTCAAGGTGAGACAAAAGATATTGTGATTTACCAAGTCAAAAGCGGAGCTCAGATCCAGTCAAATCAAAACTGCATTTTCACCAGAATCAGCCACAAGTAACAAATCATTCATCACTTTTAACAAAGCTGTTTCAGTGCTGTGATGAGGTTAAATTAGATTTCCACTAAACATGCAGTTGTGTACTATGAATATTGCTGGCTCTATGACAAATTGCTTGTAATCTTCCTTATTTGTAAGGATATATGTATAAATATGAATGTAAATGTGTCAAGGTCAAAAAGTCTCCTAAAATATCAGATAATCTATTATTTTGCCTGATAAGGCAAGTATAATAATGTTTACAAATGAATACTTTTTTGATTTTTTTCTTTAAGATTTTTTTTTAAACCAAATGAAACCAACATAAATACAAAGAGTACATTTTTAAGAACCCCTTTAGTATTATGATAGGATATTGGCTTAGTCTATTTTTATTGCCAAATTTTATGCACATTTATTTTTTTGGGGGGGGATTTGACCTGGTGAAATGTGTATTTCCTAACACTGTGATTCTATTTACAGGAGCAGAGTTGTTGGTGGATCAGCTCCTGTTTCCAGCTCAGGATGGTCAGAAGTCTAATCCAAATGTCTTTGTGGTGGGCTCCACATTGCAGAGGCTCTTGAAAGGAGCTGAGGATGTAGGGTTATTTAAGGAATTTCAAGATGGGACAATGCGAGGGTTCACTTATGCCAACAGAGAAAGCTTCAAAGACTTTTATGGTGAGATTTAGCTATAACCAAAGATGAGGAGTCTGTTATATTTTGTTATTTCAACTTCATTAGTTAATTTTAAAGACTTCATGTTTATATGACTAGGTAGAAACGAGATATTGATTCTTTAAAAATGCTTTATTTTAAGGACCGATTCTCCTTATTAACTAATTGCTTATTAGCATACATATTACTAGCATATTGGCTATTTATTAGTACTTCTGAAGCACATATCATGCCTTATTCTTCATGCTCATATTTTAGATCCCTTAATCGTATTCCATTCCTAAACTTAACAACTACCTTACTAACTATTAATACTGTAAGCAGCAAATTAGGAGTTTATTGAGGCAAAAGCCATAGTTAATAGGGAGAACTGGCCCCCAAACTAAAGTGTGACTGATTTTTCTAACAGGGATACAGTATTAGGATACAATACAGTAACTGTATTGGTCCAGGTTGTTCTATAATACTGTTGCATTGTGCTCATAGGAGATGGTGAAGGATTTCTCAGTGATGCCGAGTGTCAATACATTATCAAACATGAGTTGGACACACTTAGGGCTAAGAATGAAGAGCATGTTCCTGGATACCCTAAGGTTAAGCTCTACCCTGGAAAATCAGTTGGTAAGTGTATGTCTATCACCAGCTGCATTAGATGAATACAGTAACTAAAACATTAAAGTTGCTGTGTGTATTTTTATTGTAAAATGCTTCTATTCCGGTTTAAAATAATCAAATATAGTAAGCCCGTTGTCAATTTTTCCAGATAGTTGTAAACATTTTGGCTCTTTGATGCTTTCAACATTGTTCTGTTTGTTTGTATCTTAAAGTCAACTTGAAATCAAAATTGACCCCATTTACATGTTCTGGGTGTTATTCATCTGTGCATCTTATTCCTAAAAATTGTTCATCCTCATAATCTTTAATCAAAATGTAATAAATTGCTGATAAATTTGTGAAAACCAGTGCTGTTAACCAATGGTCACGTTTCTGTGCGCTAAAATATTATTGGTGCACATGTTTTTGATTACTTGGTTACTATTTACTTAATTCAAAAGTGAAATTCAGAAATTGAATTCAATGAGGGAATATTAATATTGTTATTTTTTAATGTACTGTTAAATATTATGTTGAAATAAGCTAGTAGTATTTGGCAGGTCATGTGATCTCAACATGGTGGTTTATTCTGTCACATCCCTTGTAGAATAAAACATAATTTTTAAACCACTGACATCATTTCATTTTAGAGTACATAATTTTGAATATTTGATTTGTCAGTATTATATCAGCATAAAACTGTCTTGAAGTAGCAACTTTAAAAAACTTATAGTGGTGAACAGCTGAAACTAGATTCAAAACATTACCATTCAGATTGTCATATTTGCTGTTTAAAAAAAATAATGCTTTAGTAAATTTTTTTATTCACGTTTTTTTCGCAATTCCTTTTTCATTTTTGAAGATTAAGTTACATTTTGATGGTAAACTCTTTTCCAGTGCGGAGGTTGCAGTCTAAAGGTGTCCTAGTCCAGTATTTTCCTCTCCATAACAAAGAAGACCTTAAAAGGCTCTCGTTCTCATGGTACAAAAAGATCAAATTGTCCTTCCAGCCACTGGGTGAGTCACTCTGTCTGTGTGCGCTGGCAGCATGAACTTTATACCCAAATCCAGCCTTTATTGTCAGTTTTCAGATATAACTTACTGTGAAAAGAATTTCACAAGAATTTATATAAGTACAGCTGAATGTCATATTTGGTGGGTGTGTGTGTGATTTATATCTGTTCTCTTGAATTATTGTGGGAATTCAGATTAATGTTGATTGCTCATTTAATGCAAATGTAAAGTGAAGCAGATTTGTACTTGCACCATCTTAAAAATACACCAGCTCAAAGTCTGATGTTTTTGAACATTAAACACATGCAATGAAATCACAGTGCACTTTGCTATATTAATTGAAGATGTTCCCTTTGTGTCCTTCGTGATGTAGATGACATCAGACATTACTTTGGTGAGGGTCTGGCGCTCTACTTTGGATTTCTGGAGTATTTCACGTTTGCCTTGGTACCCATGGCCCTCATTGGTATCCCTTACTACCTCTTTGACTGGGAGGACTACGACAAGTATGTGCTGTTTGCTGTCTTCAACCTGGTTTGGTCTACAGTATTCTTGGAAGTGTGGAAGAGATGCAGCGCTACGTTAGCATACGGGTGGGGAACTCTGAGCCGCAAAAAAGCATTTGAAGAACCGAGGGCTGGATTCCATGGAGCTCTGGGGTTTAATCCAATCACAGGCCGAGAGGAACCAGTCTACCCTAGCTCAAAGTACCACATTTTGAAATGTTCTCACGTTTTGGAAAAAAAATGGCACCAAAATCAACATCAAACAAATATAAGCATGATAAATATCGTAAATGTTCTAGATGCTCAAATTGTTTTGACTGTTTGTTTTCCCATGACAGGCGGCAGTTGAGGATATATTTGGTGTCGGTTCCCTTTGTTCTGCTGTGCCTCTATCTGTCCTTTTACGTGATGATGGTTTACTTTGACATGGAGAATTGGGCCATAAGTATATACAATGAAAATCCAAACTTTGCGACCGGCATTCTGCTGTTTGTACCCAGTATCATCTACGCTGTGGTCATCGAGATCATGAACTTACTGTATCGCTATGCAGCAGAGTTTCTCACAAACTGGGGTGAGCCTGAAATTCTTCTAGTCTTTTTTCCCGTTCTTCTTTCAGTCAGTCAAGTCAAGTCACCTTTATTTATATAGCGCTTTTAACAATAAAGATTGTGTCAAAGCAGCTTTACAGTATCAAAATAGGAAAATAGTGTGTCAATGCAAAAGGACAATAGTAAACACTTCAATTTTCAGTTAAAGGCAGTTCATCATTGAATTCAGTGATGTCATCATCCAGCTCAGTTCAGTTTAAATAGTATCTGTGCAATCAAGTCGACGATATCGCTGGAAATTAAGTGTCCCCAACTAAGCAAGCCAGAGGCAACAACGACAAGGAACCAAAACTCCATCGGTGACAGAATGGAGAAAAAACCTTGGGAGAAACCAGGCTCAGTCGGGGGGCCAGTAATGTAAAATGGTACCATTTGTTAACATTAAAAAGTAAATGCATTAGCTAACATGAACTAATAATCAGCCATATATTTTCTAAAGTATTTATTAAACTTTCGTTAGTAAAAATATAATTATAATAGAATTGTTCATTGTTTGTTAATGTTTGTTCGCAGTGCATTATTTTAATGTTAACAAATAAAACTTAATTGCAAAAAATTTGTAAGTGCTGAGATTGATATGACTAATCTTAAAATATTGTTACTATTCATTATTAGTTTAACTAATGTAATATACACTGCTGTTCAAAAGTTTGGGATCAGTAAGATTTTTCATGTTTTTAAATAAGTTTCTTATGTTCATAAAGGCTGCATTTATTTATTCAAAAATTATATTTTTATTTCTGAAGGATCATGTGACACTGAAGACTGGAGAAATGGCTGATGAAAATTCAGCTTTGTATCACAGAAATAAATAATATTTTAAAGTATATTAAAATAGAAAACAGTTGTTTTAAATTGTAATATTTCACAATATTGCTTGTATTTGATCAAATAAATGCAGTCTTGATAAGCCTAAGGAACTTCTTATATATGTATATCATTATGGTATCATTAGGGATGTTTTTGGCCTTTTTATCATCCACCAGTTGACATGAGGGTTTATATTAGTGCTGTCAAACGATTAATCACATTCAAAATACAAGTTTTTGTTTACAGAATATATGTGTATGTACTGTGTATATTTATTATGTATATATAAATACACACACATGCATGTATATATTTAAGAAAAATATGTTATATTTATATATTAAATATATTTTTAAATAATATGAATTTATTTATTTAATATGAATATACATATGTACATTTAAATACATATAAATATTTTCAAAATATATACATGCATGTGTGTGTATTTATATATGCATAATAAATATTCACAGAACACTCACATATATTATGTAAAAAAAAACTTTTATTTTGTATG